TTCAGTGCATGATGTTTCCAAAAAGCCTTCGGGAGCTTTTTGATGTTTTCAAAGCCTTCGGGTCATCTATAAGTCCTTCAGTGCATGATGTTTCCAAAAAACCTTCGGGAGATTTTTGATGTTTTCAAAGCCTTCGGGTCATCTATAAGTCCTTCAGTGCATGATGTTTCCAAAAAGCCTTCGGGAGCTTTTTGATGTTTTCAAAGCCTTCGGGTCATCTGTAAGTCCTTCAGTGCATGATGTTTCCAAAAAGCCTTCGGGAGCTTTTTGATGTTTTCAAAAACCTTCGGGTCATCTGTAAGTCCTGCAGTGCATGATGTTTCCAAAAAACCTTCGGGAGCTTTTTGATGTTTTTAAACCCTCGGGGTCATTCATAAGACCTCTGGGAAGAATGTTTTCAACATTTCCATATTACTTAAAATAAGCCGAATAAAAAATTATTGTCTTTTTCGTCTTTACTCTATTCTTGTTAATACAAGAATGAGCAAAGAGGGGCAGCTGTAGACATTAATTTTTCATAATAATAATTATAATTATTATTAATATAATATATTATTATTATTATTATTTATTATTAAATATATATATATATATATATTACAAATTACATCAGAAGCCCAAAAGACCCTCAGGCCCAATTTACAAACCCAAACAAAGAGGCCCGATCAGCCAACTGGCCCATCTAAACCCTAAACCCAATTTAGGGTTTGTATCATCTCTAGCCGCCTCATCATCACAGCATTTGGATCTGAGAGATCCAACGGTCCACAGGAGATCCAACACGATGCAGCTAGGGTTTCTAAACCCTAGTTTCTACGTGGCCACATCCCAGCCGTCGCTCCAAAGTTTCAGTGAGTTCCAGCCGCCTTGCCGATGCTTCAGTGCCACAATGACTCCAACAGAAGACTCCAGAAGCTCTGCTGTAACGACAACAGCCGCCCACGTCGAGCTCTATGGTGAGTCACCACCATAGCTATGGTGACTCACCAAACTCGACCCTCTATTGTCCGGTCCGACGAGAGCCTCGGTGGTGGCTATAAAAGCCACCACACCTGCAAGAAAGACAGAGACAGAGAGCAACGGAGAACAACAGAAAAACAGACGAAGAGAGAACAAAAAAGAGAGAGATACGAACAGCAACCAACAACCAGACCAAAACAGAAACGAAGAGAAGAAGAGGAACTTACCCTTGAAGCCTCGCTCATTGCCGGAAATCCCGAGCGTCACCGGAGTCTCATTTTTCGAAGGTAAAAAAATTAGATCTACAGGAATCTAAGGGTTTTTAGGGAAAATAAAGACCGGAATCGGTCTTAGAGCGTTTAGATCTATATTTTAGGTAAATTTGGGAATTTCCGGCCACCAGAGGCGGTGGCCGGCGGCGGAACTTGCGGCGGATCATGGTTGCCGGCCGGTGGTCAGCTCTCTCTCCGGGGAAGAGTTTAGAGAGAGCAGAGAGAGTTTTCTCTCTCACAGAAAGAAAAAAAAGAAAGAAATGAGGAAGATGGCACATAAGGGCCGGCCGATTGGGTATTTAAAGCCTTCCTCAAACGACGTCGTTTTGGGGAGGGTATTTCTGTAATTTCATAAAGGGTAAACCCCGTCCGCAGTGCTCCAAATTTGTATACCTTTCAATTTAGTCACTAAAAGCAATTTTTGATTCTTTTAATTATGTCATTCAATTTTATTTTATTACATTTTAGCCATTATCAGTTTATATATATATTTAGGGTAAATAACTGATTTAGTACCTTATAATTTTATTAACATTTATTTTAATCCGATTAATTAAATAAGGCTAAATTACATTTTTAGCACTTAGAATTTTTTATTTATTCGAGATAGAGCCTTTAAACTTTGATAAATTTTATTTTAATCACTGATTAATTAATTAAGGGTTAATTACACTATTAGTAATTTTATTTTATGATGATTCGAATTATGTTAATTAATTTAAATAATTTTACATTTATTATTATTTATTTTAGTCATTGTTTAATTATATTTTAACTTAATTTATTATTTTTTAATATATTTTAAATTATTACTTTAATTATTGTTTTACTATATTATAAATATATTTATTATTTATTATAATGTTTATTATTTCAATATCAAAGAAAAGGGCGTCTTAATACAACTGGATGTCCTATTCTGGTATTTTAAATAACTAAATTATAAAAATTATAATTTAGTTTTATTACATTTTAATATTTATTTTTATCAAAGAAAAGAGCTGTTTTAAAGTCACCTAGAAGCCATTTTCTGATATTTTTAAATAAATAAATATCTTATTTAAATTTTATTTTTTTTAAGGAAATATTTTTAGTTATTTATTTTAATTTTTAATATCAAAGAGAGCTGTCTTAAGGTACCTAGAAGCCCTTTTCTGATATTTCTAAATAAGTAAATATCTTATTTATGTATATTAATATATTTTTAAATTATTTGAAATAGTAGAATTAATTAAATATATCTTTGAATTTTTAAATTAATATAATAGAGACAATTTATAATTAAAGTACCAATTTTGGGCGTTGTAGGGGTGAGTCCTTCCCTAAACGTAACCGACCAATCCCTTTTATTATTAAAAAGAATGAATTTTTGGTTATAACGCAGATCAGTTCATTTTTTTAATGATGTTTTCTTAAAACTCTTTTAAAAAAATTTTTAGGTATTCGACCTACCTAACCCAAAAGGCCGATGGCGACTCCCAAATTATTTTCAAAACCATTTATTCACATCAATTTTCCCACCAATAAATATTCGTGCCCGGACGAAAATCGGTTACGACACCTTAATCATCCTTCTGTCTATATTTTACACGGCTATATCTATTATACATGTGTAACCATATGAAGTTACATAATTTCCCTCTCCCTCAAAACTCTCTTTTCTTTCCTGATTTGATTGTTTTTTCCCCTCCATGTTATAAACGCAGATCAGTTCATTTTTTTTAATTGATGTTTTCTTAAAACTCTTTTAAAAAATAATTTTTAGGTATTCGACCTACCTAACCCAAAAGGCCGATGGCGACTCCCAAATTATTTTCAAAACCATTTATTCACATCAATTTTCCCACCAAATAAATATTTCGTGCCCGGACGAAAATCGGTTACGACACCTTAATCATCCCTTCTGTCTATATTTTACACGGCTATATCTATTATACATGTGTAACCATATGAAGTTTACATAATTTCCCTCTCCCTCAAAACTCTCTTTTCTCTTTCCTGATTTTGATTGTTTTTCCCCTCCATTTCTATGTCAAATTTGATTAAAGCTTGTCTTTCTTTGAAATATTTGGTGTCTTTCTATTGATTGAGGCCGTTTTATGATACTACATCAAAACAAAGTTTTAGAGGCATTTTTTAGTCCTATAGCGGCGTTTTTAAGTACTGCTAAAAGCACTTACGACGATATGAAAAACGCCGCAAGAAGAGCCGGTCATACCAGCGCCGCTAAAGTTAGCGGTGTTTGAGAACAAAAAACGCCGCAATAGGTCAAGATCTATCATGTCGTTTTTGGAATAACCGCAAAAGGTCGATATCTATTGCGGTGTTTTTGGAACAAACGCCACAAAAGGTCGATATCTATAGCGACATTTTTGGAATAAATGTCGCAAAAAGTCAATATCTATAGCGGCGTTTTGGAACAAACGCCGCAAAAGGTCGATATCTATAGCGGCGTTTTTGGAACAAACGCCGCAAAATGTCGAGATATATAGCGGCATTTTTGGAAAAAATATCGCAAAATGTCAGATCTATAGCGGCTTTTTCAAAATAAACGCCGCAAAAGGTCAGATTTATAGTGGCGGTTTTTGATACAAACGCCGCAAAAGGGAAGATTTATACCGACGTTTTTTGATACAAACGCCGCAAAAGGGCTCATGATAGGAAAAAAAAGAACTATTAATATCGAAGACTAGATGACAAAACATTTCTGATTCTAACAAAGCATTCAAAATAAGTGTTCAAATCAGAAAATCAGAAATGATAAGTAATTCATGTCAAGCTTTTATAGGCTTTAATAATAAATTATAAGGAAAATTAGGAAATATTTACAGTGGAATATTCCATGGAAAATATTAGATTATCAATACAATAAGAATAAAAGAGAAAAGCAGAAACCATTCACCAATTTCTGCACTTCTGCTGCAGATGGGTATATTTGCAGAGGAATGCCAAGTCTTGTATTGTTGATAGTGCATTCTCTTCTTGCAATCTAAATGAATTAAAGCCAATATCATAGCACACAGGATATTAAATTCAACGTTTTGGACACCCTCTTGCTCCATATTCTCTTAACCTGCTGCAGCCACTTCATATAATGATAAATCTATTCATTAAACACCAAAAAGCCTTCCTGGAAAAGTATTGTCCGTCTCTCAATTGCTAAGAAACCCTACTCATACTCAACCACTGTACACACAGAACCAAGTTCTTATCGGAAACTCCTAGAGAAACTTAAATCGAGTTCTTAATGGTGCACACCATTACCATTGCTGTAAACACCATTTAATGATCCATTGGCAGACTTGAAACAGTTCCCGTTTTGCCAGACCTTTAGATTTGCTTTTCCGGTATTTACACCGTTTGCCACTCCGTTGCTTACATGATCAGACTTGTTTAAAAACAATTCCAATTGCTCACATGATGCCGCGATGAGTCCTGGACATTTACTAAAATACATATAGTGAGTTTGACAGGAAAAAGTTCAATGGATGATTTTTAGGTGTTACTTCATAAAATAAAAGAATAATCATAAGATATAAAACAAGCATAAGCATATTTCCAACATGCTAGAGAAGTGCCATTATCACAACCCAACAATTCTCTAACCCTGTTTTATGTACTTCAATACAGATAACGGACTTCAAAAGTCGATTACCTAACATATTATTCAGAATTAATCCAGGAAACCCTCCATGCTAATAGAAATAAAATAATTCAAATACTAAGCAATTATTCTACAACCAATATAACAGTCTGTATGGATAAGAACCTGAGAAAAGAGCATAAGGTTTTCCTGGTCTGGACTTGAATTTAGGATGGAACTGAACACCAATAAAATATGGATGGCTTGGTAGTTCTACAATCTGTATAGCCAACAGACAATGCCAATAACAGTCATGAACTAAATAGAGAAGTAATGATAAGTGAAACTGTTGAGTGGAGTCTGGTTTTTCATATAGAGATGCTACCTTGTAACTTACCTCCATCCTCCTACCAGTTTCATCCCTTCCAACAAACGAGAGACCAGCTGCTTCAAGTTTTGATATCATATCAGGATTGACCTACAAAGGACGAACGTCATTCTTAATAACTTGACATAAACTGTCACCAACAAATAGCATCTAATAATCCCATGCATAGTAGACTACCTCATATCTATGCCGATGCCGTTTGTCGTAACCGGTTTTCGTCCGGGCGCGAAATTTTTACTTGGCGGGAAAAGTGATGTGAATAAATTAATGATTTTGATTTTTTAAAAAAATATTTTGGGAGTCACCATCGGCCTTTTGGATCAGGTAGGTCTAATACCTAAAAATCATCTTTTAAAAGAGTTTTTAAGAAAACATCGATTAAAAGATAAACTGATATGCATTTTAACCAAAAATCCATTCTTTTTAATAATAAAAAGGGATTCGTGATCGGTTACGTTTAGGGAAGGATTAACACCCCTACAACGCCCAAAATTGGTACTTTTTAATTATAATTTGTCTCTAATAATAGAATTTAAGAATTCAAATATATTTAATTTATAATTCTGTTATTTCGAATTTATTGCTATAATTTTTAAGAAAATCTATTCAAATATAAATAAAATATTTATTTATTTAGAAATATCAGAAAATGACTTCTAGGTGCCTTAAGATAGCTTTATTCTTCGATATTAATAAATAAAAATAAATATTAAAAATGTAATAATTTAAATAAAACTAAACTATAATTTTTATAATGTTTAATTATTTAAAATAACAGAATAGGATATCCAGTTGTATTAAGACTGCCCTTTTCTTTGATATTGAAAATAAATAAACATTATTATTTAAAAGAATATAAGTATATATTTACATGACTAAGATAACAATAATAAAATAATTATGAAAATAATATTTTTAACATATAAAATTAAAATATAAATAAATAATGAGTAAAATAAATAAAATTAAAACTAAATATAAAAAAATAATAAAAACTTACAATTAAAATTAGTGACTAAATTATAACGTAATAAAATTAAATACCTAATTAATTATTAATTATTTAAAATTTGAGTGACTAAACATGCTATTCTCCTTATTTATTAATTTAGTGACTAAACTAAAATTATATAAAATTCATATATCAAATTAAATTAATTAAAAACATGCATTCGGGATTAAAAAATTAATTATTAAAATTAAAGGATTAAATCAATAATTTACCTAAAATATTTATAATTACGGTTAAGGACTAAAATACATATATATAAAATTCGAATACCGATTTAAAAAGATCTAAAATTTGCTTTAGTGACTAAAATGTAAGGATTACAAACTAGGATGGCTGCGGAAAGGGTTTGGCCATGAACGAAATTACAGATATACCCCTCCCAAAATGGCATCGTTTGGGAAGGGGTATTTATACCCGAAACAGCTGGCCCGAAGGGCCAGCTCTCTCATTTCTTCCTTTCTCTCTTCTCTCTTTAACTGAGAGAGCTTAGAAGCTCTCTCAACTCTCTTATTTTCCCTCATCGAAGGGAAATCAGAAGGCGGCCGGTCTATATCCGGCATCGACTACCGCCGCCGGCCACCGTTAATGGTGGTCGAAAAATTACATATCTACCTCAAATTGAAGCCCGAAATTCCCTAAAGCCAAATCCGAGGATATTTTAGCTTAGATCACTACCAAAACGTGTAGATCTAAGGTTCTTTACCTTCGACTTTTTCGGTTTCAAAGACGTAGGGAGGCTCCGATGATAGCAGTTTCTTGGTAAGCCTCCTTTCCTCTTCTCCTTCTTTATTTGGCTGTTGTTGGGTGTTGTTGTTGTTTTTTTTCTGTTGTGGTTGTTTTTTTTCGTTGCTCTCTCTCCGTTGCTCTGTTTTTTCTTTTTAGGTTCGGTGGTGGCTTTTATAGCCACCACAGTGTCTTCTTCGGACCGGATAATAGGGCAAAGTTTGGTGAGTCACCAAACTATAGTGGTGACTCAGTCTAGACTTCAACGTGTGCGGCTGCTCTAAGTCTTCTGGAGTCTTCATCGGAGGCGTGCCACTGGTGGAGCGTCGGCAGTGGCGTTGGCAGCAGAGGAGGCACCGCGTGGTAGTTGAAGAGGCTGCTGGAAACGTGGCCCTAGGGTGATGATACCCTAGGGTTTCATCTGGAACCTTTCTGTGGACCGTTGGATCAAAGTCAGATCCAACGGTCATGAGGAGCTGGCGGCTGCTGGTGATGATACAAACTCTAAATTGGGTTTAGGGTTTAGCTGGGCCAGTTGGCTTCTGTTTAGGTTGGGCTTCCAGATCTGGGCCTCCGGGATTTGTAATTGGGTCATGTAATCTGGGCCTGTTTTTAATAATAATAATATTAATAATAAAAATATATAATAAATAATATAATAATAATAATATAAATAAAACTGGGACAAAAATTTAGTGTCTACAGCTGCCCCTCTTTGCTCATTCTTGTGTTAACAAGAATAGAGCAAAGACGAAAAGACAATAAATTTTTGTTCAATTGACTTCTCCTGATTAAGATGGAAATGTTAAACAAGTTCTCCTCTGGGATTAGTTCTTCTTATTATGAACTTTCCCACTGGGGATGACAATTCATCTCATTTTGAGATGTAGTGTAGCAAAAGGTTGAATAAATTATTCTCCTTCTTCAGATGAGTTCTTCTCATTATGAACACTTCTGGAAATGTTGATGCTGATCTATCTCCTTCCGTGATAGAGTCATGCAAAAGGCTGAACAAATTCTTCTCATTATGAACTTCTTCTCCTCTTCATATGAGTTCTTCTTATGAACTCTTTCTAGCAATACTGATCCATCGAATGATGAAATCGAGCAAAAAAGTTGAACAAATTCTTCTCATTATGAATTCCTTCTTTCTTCTTCAGATGAGTTCTTCTCATTATGAACTCTTTTTTCTTCTTCAGATGAGTTCTTCTCATTATGAACTTTCTCTGGAAAAGCTGATCCATCAAGTGATGGATTTGAGCAAAAGGTTGATCAAATTCTTCTCATTATGAATTTCTTCTTCCTTCTTCAGATGAGTTCTTCTCATTATGAACTTTCTCTGGAAATGCTGATCCATCAAGTGATGGATTTGAGCAAAAGGTTGAACAAGCTCTTCTTATTATGAACTTCTTCCTCCTTCTTCAGATGAGTTCTTCTCATTATGAACTCTACCTGGTAATGCTGATGACCCGAAGGTTTTGAAAACATCAAAAAGCTCCCGAAGGCTTTTTGGAAATATCATGCACTGTAAAGGTTTTGAAAACATCAAAAAGCTCCCGAAGGCTTTTTGGAAATATCATGCACTGTAGGACTTACAGATGACCCTAAGGCTTTGAAAACATCAAAAAGCTTCCGAAGGATTTTTGGAAACATCATGCACTGTAGGAATTACAGATGACCCTAAGGCTTTGAAAACATCAAAAAGCTCCCAAAGGCTTTTTGGAAACATCATGCACTGCAAGACTTACAGATGACCCTAAGGCTTTGAAAACATCAAAAAGCTCCCGAAGGCTTTTTGGAAACATCATGCACTGCAGGACTTACAGATGTGGGAAATAGTTTACTAAGTAAGAAACTATGGAAATCGTTTCCTTACTATTCAACAATTTCATTTTCAGAAAAGATTGAATGAGAAACTATGGAGAATCGTTTTCTCATTCTTTTTCAAAATAACATGTTGATTGGGTAACATGCCCCAATCTCAAGATAATGCTCACTCTTGCGGATTACGTTCATCTATTCTTCAGATGTTTACGTGATTCCTGTATTTGCGGTTTTGAATACCTTCTTCTTGTAAGGTATTTTTTTACCCTGAATCTTCTTGTTCTTCCTAAGATCTGTAAAACTTCATGTTTGAATGCACTCATATGTATAAATGTAATGCATTGTCTATTGTGTAAATGATATTCTTATGAATGCATGAATGTTGATGCAATATTCATTTGACTTCAAAGTGGTGAACTAGGTCTTCCTTCACTTCATCATTTACTTCCAGAGTCACCTCTAGATATCAGTGTAGCAACTTATGCTATCAAGATTGCGTTGCTGCAGAATCATCTGATCAACTTGTATCTTTGCGTCTTCTTTGCTTCATGAAAGTCTCAGAGGAAATGTTTCATTTATGGAACTCTTGCCGTAGTCAGAACTATGACTTTGATGCCCTGTTTTGTCTTTGATAAAACCAACCTTCTTTGCTTGGACTTGTATAGAAATCCAATAAAGCTTTTATCTTTGAAAAGAGAATCTATCATCTTTAAAAAGAGAATCTATCATCTTTGAAGAGTGTAGATGTAGAGATGTCCGATTCAGCAGGGATTAATTAAGAGAGTATAGTATGTTCCAATTTTAACTCTTGAAACACATCACAAGGAAGATTTATTCCAATTCCTTTCATGTCTTCACATCTAATCAGATCTCGAATAAGGCAACTTGGACCATATCATGTCGAGATGCTTAACAACAACCTGTCGTTCAACCTTAGTTGGCTCCACTAGTTTCTTGTTGTTAAAATTTCAGCTCTCCTTCTGTGAAAAGAAATCTTCATTGTATCTCACTTTTAATCTTGGGGTTGAAGAAGACAAAATTTATCTTGGATCAATAAAGGAAAACCATATGATAACAACATTGGTTTAGAATTGGAATAACTGGTTAGTAAAACATTTGACAACACATTCATCATTTCCTGTGGTTTCTACTCAGATGTAAAACATTTGACAACACATTCATCCTTTCTTGTGGTTTCTGCCAAGATTTCTCAATCATTGAAACTCTTTGCATATTTGTTCAAAGCTTTTGTATGATGTCACAAGATCACTTGAGAACAAAACTCAGTGGGGATTCAAGTGTGATGTTAGTATGACCAAAAAGTTGGTCAAATTCACAAAATGTGCTATTGTCGATTTGAATAGGAGATACCAACTGATCACGTTTTCATATCGGGCAAAGGAAAATGTAGTACTGATCACGTTTTCTTCTGTAATGAGCATTATAGAAAGTAGAAACACTTCAGCTATAGGATCCATGTACAGAAAGATATCCGTAGAATTCTTGCTTTTAGGATGAAACATACATGATAAAACCAAAATAGATGGAAACTCAATTCATCTTGGCTAGCAATGATGATCCCAATAACAACGGGAATAACAGTAATATAAGTGTGAGAGTCGAGTCTCCCTTTTCAATGTCATCAAGTA